GTTAGTAATATTAATAAAATATTAATTAAGTACTTACTTTTTATTTATACTAGTTTTAGGAGTATATATATTACTTTTAGTAATATATATATAATATTCTTCTCTTAAATCTATTAAAGAAGAATATTTATTCCTTTTAATAATAATAGAATTTTCTATTTTAAATAGAAAATAACTATCTTCTAAAGGATAATATAATATAATTATAAAGTTTTTAAAGTTTTTAAGACTAGCTTTATAAAGAATAAAACTTTCTAAACTAGAAAGTTTTTCTTCTAAAGTAAGAAAGCCTATAAAACCTATAAAACTATAATTTAAATAAATAATTAGTATATATATATATATATATTTATATCCTGCGAAAACAGGACCTAATATATTATTAATAGCTTATATTATTAGTATTTTTACTATGTATTGCGTACTTTTATTTTTAGAATTACTAAATAACAAACTTCTAACCTTTAATAACGTGACTTTAACTGCTAAAGTACTGTTTTTTTTAATAGCTTCTAAGCACATATCTAAATATCTAGCATAATATTAGACTGCTAAGCAGCTAACTAATACTAGGCTTTTAGGCAATAATAGCAATGCTAACAACAATAATAATAATAATAATAATAATAATAACTTTTCCTATAATATTAGCCTAAATACTTAACTACTTCCTTGCTCCTTTCCTTTGCCTATATAAGCTATTATTTATAGTATATTTAAATTATTATTGCTTGCTTTTTTGCTTTATTACTTGCTTTACTGCTTATATTTACTTACGCACTAAGTTAACTATTTTAAGAAGTTATATTTTCTAGTTATTATACTACTAGTAACTATAGTTTTTAAAAAAAATTTTTTAATATACTATAAGTCTTGTGTTACTTTTAATATTTTCTATAAACTGCAGAAGCTTGTTTCTCTAGTTTTTAATAAAAACAGCCTAGTTGCGGCTAAAATTAGGATTTTGCATTATTATATAGCAGCTAATTATAAAAAAAATTGTATATTGCTACTGCC